AAACTAACAGTGATGTAAGAAGTTGTCATACTTGAACTTAATGGTTTAAAAGCATGTAGATCAAATTTTTTGCCAGTATGTTATACATCTCAAAAATTCAGGCTGAGTGCAGTGGCTCACACCTGTAATCCCAGCACTTTGGGATGCCGAGGTGGATGGATCACCTGAGCTCAGGAGTTCGAGACCAGCCTGGGCAACATGGCAAAACCCTGTCTCCACCAAAAAATACAAAAAAAATTATCCAGCTGTGGTGGCATGTGCCTGTGGTCCCAGCTACTCAGGAGGCTGAAGTGGGAGGATTCCTTGAGCCTGGGAGGTAGAGGTTGCAGTTAACCAAGACTGTGCCATTGCACTCCAACCTGGGTGACAGAGTGAGACCTGATCTCACACACACACAAAATCCATTTATGTGTGTTTTGATTGTGGACAATAAATAGTCAGAATTAAAGATAAAGCGTTTATATGGTGTCCTCTGAAATGGAGCTAAGAAACAGAACTAACAGTTGAACAAAAATTTAGAAAGGCCAAGGAATTGGAACAATTCTTGTGGAAACAGAAGAACAATAGCTAAAACTGATGTAAATCTAATAGAGCTTACAAAACGGTCCAGTTGGATGTGAGGGTTGTACAGCAATCAACATGTCCTTCACTAGGAGAATAGACAAATATACTTGGTATATCCAGATAATGGATTATTATTCAGTGCTAAGCAGAAATGAGATATCAAGCCATGTAAAAGACGTGGAAGACTGTAATCCCAGCACTTTGGGAGGCCGAGGTGGGAGGATCACCTGAGGTCAGGAATTCGAGACCAGCCTGGCTAACATGGTGAAACCCTGTCTCTACAAAAAATACAAAAATTAGCTGGGTGTGGTGGTGGGCACCTGTAATCCCAGCTACTCAGGAGGCTGAGACAGGAGTATCGCTTGAACTGGGGAGGCAGAGGTTACAGTGAGCCGAGATTGCACCACTGCACTCCAGCCTGGGCGATAGAGTGAGACTCTGTCTCAAAAAAAAAAAAAAAAAGGAAGAAACTTAAATGCATATTACTAAGGGATAGAAACTAATCTGAAAATGCTGCAAACTTTATGATTCCAATATATAACATTCTGGAAAAGGCAAAACTATGGCGAGAGCAAAAAGATCCGTGGCTGCCAGGGATTAGAAGGCAGAGAGGTTGGATAGGCCGAGAACAGAGGACTTTTAGGGCAGTGAAACTCTTCTGTCTCATACTATAATGGTGGATACATGCCATTATACATTTGTCTAAGTCCATAGGATGTACAAGACTAAGAAAGGTCCCTAATGTAAACTATGGACTCTGTGTGGTAATGATGTATCAATGTAGGTTCATCAGTTGTTGGGGAATGCTAGTAATGGGGGAGACTATGCATGTGTGGGAGAACTCTTCCACTGCAGTGTAAATATATGTAACACTACTGAACTGTATGCTTAATAATGGATAACATGATAAAGTTTATGATATGTGTTTTTTACCTCAATAAAAAAGAAAAAATATAAGATAACCAATAGTTAGATCACAAATCACTTTTGTATTTTGACCTAGAAAATATCCGCCATCTCTTCACAAAATTGAAAACATCTGAATTAATTTTTAATAATTTTGAGCACCATCCATATGCAGTAACATAATCAAGACAAAGGATATTTCCAAAGTAATTTGGCAATGAGTTATAATTTGGATCCAGTTAAACATTCAAAATGAAAAATAATAAAGGAAATGAAGACTGATCCTAAGTTACACTGGTGATATGGCCAAAAGCTCACTTGTAAGTCAGCCATTCAGCGGTCAGTTTTCTCATTTGGTTAGGCCCCCAAATCAGATCATAGAGTCTCTTAACTTCACTTTTTATCCAATGAAAGTTCTCTGCATCCTCTTTTTAAAAAAAGGAGGAGGGGGAAGCAGAAGAGGAGAAGGAGGTGGAGGAGGGAGGAGGGAGGAGAAAGAAGGAAGAAGGACAGAAAAACGAAGAGACTTTTTCATGAAGGATATCCTAAGAAGTGAAAAACAACAATCTGCAAACTGGGAGATGATATTTGCAACACATTTAACTAAGAAAGAATTATAGAAGTAAGAATATATAAAGAATTTCTGCAAAGCAATATGAAAAAGACAACCCAATAACAAAAAGGAAAAAACACACAAATGAGCATATCACAGAAAAGGAAACAAGTGGAATGAATATGTGAAGAGATGATGGAGTTTACAAGCAATCAGGGAAATACAAATCAGGAATGAACAATGATATCATTTCCAGATACTTAATTGGCAAAATTAATTCTGACGATACAAAATGTTGAAGAAAGTGTAGATCAACAAGATTTCTTATATATGGCTGCTGGGAGAGTAAATTATTACAACTATTCTGGAAAGCAATTTGCCATTATTATTATTATCTTGTGAATGTGAATATTTGCATATCCTGTGTCCCACCAATTTCACTTTTCAGCAAGGGAAATACATATATCCAGAGACATTTTAAAATGTTTGTCATGGGTACTGCTAGTAATAAGATCAAATTACTAAAAGTAATCCAGATGTCTATGAATAGGAAAATGAATAAGTAAATTACATCTTATTCACCTAATGAACTTTTATATGGAAATGAAAAAGCAAATGAACTGAGCTGTATGCAACATGTATGAATTTAAGTACATAATGTTGAGGAGAAGTAAGTTATAGAAGACAATATATGGTATGGATAGCCCTTTTTACAAAGAGCAAAAATAAGTAAAATTAAGCAATATGTTATTTAAACGTATGCGCTAAAAATAATTTAAATACCAAGGGAATGAGAAAACACAAAATTCAAGATATTGGATATGTAACAGGAAAGGTAGAGGGATAGGAATGGAGAGAAACAGGAAGATGTAAATTACTAGCAATATGCTGATTCATAGGTTTTCAGTTCACACAGTTCATTATATTATTAAATAATATAAGGAAAAATACAAATGAGCCATGTATAGACAAATAATTTAAAATATTTAGGGAAAAAAATGCAATGAGATGTCATTTTTCATTCAGATCATAAGTAAAAATTAAAAATAAATTTTTGGTCATATCAAGTATTGGTGAGGTTTGGAGAAACAGATACTCTCATACACTACTGGTGGGACTATAATCTGGTTCAGCAAAACTGAAGAGCACTTGGGTAGTCTCTATTAAAATTGTAGAAATGTGGCTAGATGCAGTGGCTCATGCCTGTGATACCAGCACTTCGGGAGGCCAAGCCTGGGAGCTTGAGACCAGCCAGGGCAACATGGCAAAAAACCATCTCTACAAAAAAGTACAAAACTTAGCCAGGCATGGTGGCATATACCGGTAGTCCCAGCTACTTGGGAGGTGGAGGTGAAAAGATCACTTGAGCTGGGAAGGTAGAGGTGGCAGTGAGCCAAGATCATGCCACTGCACTGCAGCCTGGGTGACAGAGACCCTGTCTTATATGTATGCATAGCATCTGACTCAGCAACTCAATTTTTCAGTATTTCCTTTAAAGATAACACTGTGACATTAGTACAGATAGGCAGATAAATGAATGTTCACTGCAGTACTATTCACAACACTGAAAATTTGGGTACAACTTTTAAATGTTCATTAGTGGAAAAGTAGACTATCTCAAGTATGATATATCCATAAGTTGGAGATTAGGGGACAGTGTAGAAGAATGTGCTGATCCACATGAGCTAACATAAAAAGACCCGAGACATAGGGTTGCGTGACAAATGTAACTTATAGAACAACAGGTACAGTATGATACAAGTTCGAACCTACTGTTCAAAGTGCCCTTCCTTAGACACCCTAACTACCTCCCTGCTCACCAGTAATGTTTGCAGGGCCCAAAGCAAGAGTGAAAATTGAGGTCCACATATCATATGTTTCGGCTCATAGATTGTATTATGCCAGCAATGAGTGCTGCATCCTGAGTAACAGAAGCACCTATGTGTATTCAGTACGTTTCCTGTGTGTGTTTGTAATATTCAGGCCCAGTAAGCAAGCAGTCCAGGTCAAAGGTACTTCCTGTCCAAGTCTAAAAGCCTTTCTCTCCTCCCCACCATAAAAATGAAATCAGTACTGTACATATTTTATTGGTATCTGCATACATATGAATGTAAATGCTTAGAATTTGCAAACTGAATAACTGGTTACCTCTGGGAAGAGATAGAGGAGACTAGGATTGATTATATCAGATGAGGTATAAAAGAATTATTATTTGGATGGTGGTCTCAGACTCTTCAGCCATATTTATAAAGTTGGAAATGCAAGAAAAGCCTATTTTCTTGTATAACTTGTTATTTAAATTAATTTTTAAAAATCCAAACAACAGAAATCTTCATGTGAATGAGTCTTAGGCTATTAAAAGAGGTAGCAAGTGGGAATCATTAATACATAATCGATCTGTTTTATCCTCAAACAACTCTTACCTAAAGATGAGGAAATAGAGAAACTAAGATGCTATAGTAATAAACTAATATAACTGTACAGTGAGATAAGTGATTTGAGGATCTACGAAGGTACCAGGACACATCCCTTGCAAATGACAAGGGCTTTTCCATGCAAACTATGTCTGCATATATATTTGCCAGACACCTAGAACATGAAGTATTATGTCAATATGGCGTAAACCCCTCCCCAGATCCAAATGCACCCAGCACTCCATTCTTTTATGAACACGGAATTATTTGGGAGATCATAGGAATAACTTTGTTGTTTTATACAATCACTATGCATATTGTGTAGACCTGCTACTCTGCCACAGACACCTTCATACACACTCTAGGATGGAAATAGAAGGTAGACAAAGTAGATAAGGAGTCTGCATACGAGTGTGTGTGTGTGTGTGTGTGTGTGTGTGTGTGATGAATGTAGGCATATGGAAAAGATCATGCCACATGGCTATTCTCATGTAGGCTGATAGGTAATTGCCAACTGTTGCATGGCAGCTATTTAGTGAGGTATTATCTCTTTATTCCTTTAGATATGGCTTTCAGTCGATGGCGGCAGCACCTTTCAATTAGTAGCTGACTTTCATGATGATATCATAAAGAAGTCTTTTCATAGTTTTTATACATCAGCTATTACTTTTGTTTCTCAACGTGGAAAGGTTTACTTGACAAAGGCAGGTAAGAAATTTGCTTTCACTGGTGTAAGCATTACATGTGGCCCAGGATTAGAAGATATATGAAAAATCTGCCGTATTAATTAACTAATCCTAAGATCTCAAAACTATTAGGGGTGATGGATTTGTAGGATCTATAGAAGTAGTATCCTATGGATAGCCCTAAAGAAAGACAACACTAGGTCACCATGCTATGTTCTCATTTACCATTTCAGAAACATTTTACTGTCCCAAAAGCCAAATAATAACAGTTGCCACTTGCCAAGCTACAATTGTGCTCAACATGTTACAAATATCATCTCATTCGATATTCACAACAACCTTGCTGAAGTTCGTAATGTTAGCTTACTTTTGCTGATTACACTGATACAACTGACACACAACTAGTAATGGTGGAGTTGTGTGAATGATGCACTGCTCTCATCGCTTTCATTTGGTAATCTTGTGCTTTCATTGATCAACTCTATATAGTTCCTATCAGTGTTTGCATAGCAAAAGAAGTAGCTAATTTTTAAGTATAATTGTACTTCTTAACTAACAAATACTGATTTTACATATTCATGGGGTACAAAGCACTATTTTGATACATATAATGTAGAGTGATCAGATCAGGGTAATTAGCATTTCTGTCATCTCAAATATTTATCATTTCTTTGTATTGGGAATGTTCAATATCCTCTTCCTAGCTATTTGAAACTATATAACATATTAGTGTTAACTATGCCATCCTCCAGTAGTATAGAACACTAAAATTTATTCTTCCTATCTGGCTGTAATTCTGAACCCTTTAGCAAATCTCAAAACAGTTAATATTGATTGACCTTAATGACAGTTGCCCACTCCTTTCCAACTCAGTTGAATTTTGCTAACCAGCCTAGGACCCTAGAGTGATAAAGGGACATGATTCTCAATTTATTTCTATATGTTCGTGACCTGCATTTTCATTTTATTTTGTCATTCTATTATTGAGTCTTTGAGATCTTGTTTTGTTGAATTTAGTTTATTAATATTTTTTGAGCAGAATATGGAAGTAAATTTACCTCTTCTCTTGGGATATGCTTTGTCTCAACTTGATTCTTTTTATCTTTTACATGCTGTTAGTTTCTTCCTTCTCTTCCCTTCCTTTTTTAAAAAAATTTTATTCTTAATTTTTGTGGGTATATAGTAGGTATATAAATTTATGGGATACATTAGATATTTTGATACAGGCATACACTGTGCAATAATCATATCAGGGTAAATGGGGTATCCATCACATTAAGAATTTATCCTTTCTTTGTGTTACAAACATTCAAATTATATTCTTCCAGTTATTTTTAAATGTACAATAAATTATTACTGACTGTAGTCACTCTGTTGTGCTGTCAAATACTAGATCTTATTTGTTCTATGTGATGATATTTTTGTACCCATTAACCATCGCCATTCTCCCCCTACATAATGCCCCACTACCCTTCCCAGCCTCTGGTAACCATTATTCTACTCTCTATGTCTGTGAGTTCAATTTTTAAAATATTTAGTTCCCTCAAATAAGTGAGAACATGCAAACTCTGTCTTTCTGTCCCTGGCATATTTTACTTAACATAATGTCCTCCAGTTCCAATCATGTTGTTGCAAATGACAGGATCTCATTCCTTTTTATGGCTGAGTAGTAGTACTCCATTGTGTATATGTACCATATTTTCTTTATTCATTGATCTGTTGATGGACACTTAGGCTGCTTCCAAATCTTCACTATTGTGAATAGTGCTACAATAAACATGGGAGTGTAGCTATCTCTTCAATATACTGATCTCTTTTTGGGGGGTATATCCTAGCAATGGGGTTGCTGGATCATATGGTAGCTCTATTTTTAGTTTTCTGAGGAACCTCCAAATTTTTCTTCATAGTACTAATGTACTCTCTATTGTACTAATTTATACTCCCACCAACAGTGTACAATCTCCATATCCTCACCAGCATTCATTATTGCCTGTCTTTTCGATAAAAGCTCTTTTAACTGGGATGAGATGATAATCTCATTGTAGTTTTGATTTGTATTTCTCTGATGGTCAGTGATATTGAGCACCTTTTCATACGCCTGTTTGCCATTTGTATGTCATCTTTTGAGAAATGTCTATTCAGATTTTTTGTCCATTTTAAAATCAGATTGTTAGTTTTTTCCTATTGAGTTGTTTGAGCTTTTTATATATTCTAGTTACTAATTCCTTGTCAGATGAGTAGTTTGCAAATATTTTCTCCTGTTCTGTGGATTGTCTCTTCACTTTGTTGATTGTTTCTTTTGCTGTGCAGAAGCTCTTTAACTTGATGTGATTCCATTTGTCCGTTTTTGCTTTGGTTGCCTGTGTTTGTGGGATATTACTCAAGAAATCTTTGCCTAGATTAATGTCCTGGATAGTTTCCTCAAAGTTTTCTTTTAGTCATTTTATGGTTTTTAGATTTAAGTCTTTAATCCATTTTGATTTGATTTTTGTGTGTGGAGAAAGAGGTCTAGTTTCATTCTTCTGCACATGGATATCTTCTGCATATGGATATGGATGGCCTAACATATATTCTATTTATTTCAGAATGATCTATGTGCTGAGGAGAAGAGCATGCATTCTGCAGCCATTGGTTGAAATGTTCTGTAAATATCTATTAGGTCCATATAGTCTACAGTGCAGATTAAGTTCAATGTTTCTTATTTGATTTTCTGTCTGGATGACCTGTCCAGAGAGAAAATCACGTCCAAAGGTGAACATGGGTTGTTGAAATCTCCAACAGTTATTGTATTGGGATCTGTTTCTCTCCTTAGCTCTAATAATATTTACTTTCTGTATCTGAGTGCTCCAGCATTGAGTGTATATGTATTTATAGTTTTTATTTCCTCTTGCTGAATTGACCCCTTTATCATTATGTAATGACCTTCTTTGTCTCTTTCTATAGTTTTTATCTTGAAATCTATTTTGTCTGATATAAGTATAGCAACTTCTGCTCTTTTTTGGTTTCCACTTGCATGGAATATATTTTTCCATCTCTTTATTTTCAGTCTATGTGTGTCTTTGTAGGTGAAGTGTGTTTCTTGTAGGCAACAGATCACTGGGACTTTTAAAAAAAAAATCCATTCAGGCACTCTACGTCTTTTGATTGGAGAGTTTAGTCCATTTACGTTAAATGTTGTTATTGATAAGTAAGAACTTACTCTTGACATTTAGTTAATTTTTTTCTGGTTGTTTTGTGGTCTTGCCTTCCTTCTCTTTCCTTCCTATCTTCTTTTTAGTGAAGACAATTTTCTCTGGTAGCATGTTTTAATTTCTGTCTTCAAGCTCACTGATTTTTTATTCCACTTGATCAATTCTTCTATTAATTTCTTGCTTTTATTTTTTGTATAACTGTTGTATGTTTTTAAATTCTAGGTTACCGTAATATCTTATAACCCATTATTTTAAACTGACATATCTTGAAAAGTTGTTGTAGTTATTATATTTGATCAGTGTGTCTTTTAGTTTTTCTACTCAAGATATGAGTTTACACACCATAATTAACATGTTATAATATTCTGTATGTTTCTGTGTACTTACTATGACCAGTGAGTTTTGTACCTTCAGATGATTTCTTATTGCTCATTAATATCGTTTTATTTATGCTTGAAGTATTCCCTTTAGCATTTCTTATATGGCAGGTCTGGTGTTGATGAAATACCTCAGGTTTCTTTTTTTATCTGGGAAAGTGTTTCTTTTTCATGTTTGAAGGATATTTTTGCCAGATATACCATTCTAGGATAAAAGTTTTAAAAAACATATGTCATGCCACTCTCTCCTGGCCTGTAAGGTTTCCACTGAAAAGTCTGCTGCCAGATGTGTTGGGGCTCCTTTGTATGTTATTGTTTCTTTTCTCTTGCTGCTTTTAGGATCCTTTTTTTATCCTTGACCTTTGGGAGTTTCATTATTAAATGCCTTGAGGTAATCTTCTTTGGCTTAAATCTGTTTGGTGTTCTGTTACCTTCTTGTACTTGAATATTGATATCTTTCTCTAAGTTTGGGAAGTTCTCTGTTATTACTCCTTTGAATAAATGTTCAATCCCTATCTCTTTCTCTATCTCCTCTTTGAGGCCAATAACTCTTAGATTTGCCCTTTTGAGGCTATTTTCTAGATTTTACAAGCGTGCTTCATTCGTTTTTATTCTTTTTTCTTTCATCTCCTCTAATTGTGCATTTTTAACTGGGCTATCTTCAAGCTCATTAATTCTTTATTCCGCTTTATCAATTCTGCTGTTAAGAGACTCTGATAATTCTTCAGTATGTCAATTACGTTTTTCAGCTCCAGAATTCTGCTTGATTCTTTTTAATTGTTTCAATCTTTTTGTTATATTTATCTGACAGGCTGGATTCCTTCTCTGTATTATCTTGAATTTCCTTGAGTTTTCTCAAAACAGCTATTTTGAATGCTCTGTCTGAAAGGTCACATATCTCTGTCTCTCCAAGATTGGTCTCTGGTGCCTTATTTTGTTCCTTTGGTGAGGTCATGTTCCCCTGGATGATCTTGATGCTTCTGGACATTGATTGGTGTCTGGGGATTAAAGAGTTTGGTATTTATTGTAATCTTCACAGTCTGGGCTTGTTCATACCTATCCTTCTTGGGAAAGCTTTCCAAGTATTCAAAGGGACTTGAGTGTTGTGATCTAAGTCTTTGCTCACTGTAGCTGAATCTGCATTAGGAGGTACCTCAAGCCCAGTAATGCTTTGGCTATTGCCAACTTGTAGAAGTACTGCCTTGGTGGTCTTGTGTAGGATCCAGGAGAACTCCCTGTATTACCAAGAAGAGACTTTTGTTATCTTACCTTACTTTCCACCAAACAAATAGTGTCTCTTTCTCTGTGCTAAGCTGCCTGGAGCTAGGGCAGGGGTGATGCAAGCACCCCTGTAGCCACCACCACTAGGACTGCACTGGGTCAAACCCAAAGCCAGCACAGCACTGGGTCTTGCCCAAGGCCCACAGTGCCCACTGCCTGGCTACTACCTATGT